AGCTATCTGGTCGCCGACGATCGACCAAGTCCAGTTCCGCTACATATTAACCTTGCCTCAAGCAAACTTTCTGATTGTTACACGACATGTAGCTTGTGATAATATTTCATCACTACCTCTCGAGCACACAACGCTATAACGACAAAGTTATTCCAATATCTACCACTACAGTACATGAACTGCTAAGTTTATATATTAACTAGGAGTAGGTGGGATTATCTCGCCACTTCAGTTGATTTACACAATGGCTGAGGGTGGGAACTTCATTCCTACAAATCGTTATAAAAGGTCTCGTGACGATGCATCTCTAGAACTCTGCGGAAGGTGTGAAACAAAAATAGATACAACATCTAACACTTTACCATGTAGTGGCTGTAAGCTACTCTTCTGTCAGAAATGCACAAGTATGCACTGTATATGCCTGTATACAAAATGGAAAACTAGCGGACATGTCTAGGTGCTGCGGGAGCTGCAAACATACCAAACCAACACTAGATAACATCAATGCTGCCATAAGCCAGCTTTGTCAGTCAAATGACTAGAGAATTACAGGGATTGTACCAGACTACATGATCTTGAACTAAATACTAGAAATCAGATCAAGGAGGAAATGACAAACACTAGACACGTCATACTAGAACAATTAAATGTTGAAATCAACAGCATAGTCGACAAAAGAACAAAGGAACTAGAGGACCGTAAGGCGAGAGAAACCAACATTATAATGTTCAACATACCGGAAAACACATCGGCCAACAAATTGGAAAACAAAACAAAGGATGAACAAGACTTTACAAAGTTATTTCCAAGTCTAGGTCTGGAAAATGCAGCCATAACAACACATTTCAGGCTGGGGAAATATATCCAAAATAAAACTAGGCCACTTATCGTTATATTGGCAAATAAGAAACAACGCAAGAGAGATACCAACAAAAGCTCCAGTACATCTCAAGAATGCCATACTAACAAAGGATAGGACGCCAGAACAGATAAAGGAGAGGAAAGTAGCTAGGGCACAAATGAAAACTACAGCGCCAAATATCATAACAACGACTGCTACTGTACATACTAATCATATGCCTAATGAACACAGGAGAAATGTACCAAATTCACATATACCTGACAAAGAGCAAACAGTCCCTGTACAACTAACTGTACAAAGCCCTATATCAAGAGTTATTGTTAATCACTGGTCCCTTTCTGGCGAACTGGACGAGTCCGATGAAAACACATTTCCTTACCCAACACCGGCAAATAATTCTGTGATGGACGTTACTCTAATTGAAAAAGACAGCTTTGTTCCACCTACATCGCCCGAAGTAAATCGTGCATAGGCTGACAGTTTTACTCTTTTAAATGATGTAAAAACGAGGGCTTCGTGTCTTTTTTACCACAGCAATCTGATTTTTTTCTTCTCAAATATCGACGTCCTGACAGTAACCAAAAACGCTGAAATAAAGAAATACATTACTCGAAAAAGCCCAGATGTTATCTGCCTCACTGAAATAAATCCAAAGTCAACATCAATACCGATAGACGAGCAGACCTTTAATATCGAAGTGTATAATGCCTTCTTTGGGAAACATAAGAAACCAGGAGTAGTAACAGACACCGCAGCTCACCTCGCAGCAGGGGAGGCAGTAATTGACGACGACAATGAGAAATTTGTGCTAATCAGTCAAAATAGTGATGACCAAGCCAACATAAAACTTCTGCTGGATACTGTATCTGCAATGCCTATGTCACATCTACTACTGGTAGGAGACTTCAACCTGAAAGAAATTGATTGGGAGACACTTAATTCAAATACCAACAACAGCCACATAGCATCCAAATTTGTCGGGAAAGTTCGCGACTGCTTTCTGCATGTACGCAACATGTTAGTCAACCAACTCGTTATAAGGACAAGTACCCTCTCTTCTAGATCTAGTGTTAACTAACGAAGAGAACATGATTGATGTAATAAACTACCAACCAGGATTAGGCAAGAGTGACCATATCGTCTTAACATTTGAATTTCTTTGCTATTCAAAACCCTATACCAACAAAATTGACAAATTGAGTTATCATGGAAGAGATAATAATAACATCAGAGAGGACCTCCAGACCTTGGACATAGGTGAGCTAAAGTCAATGGAAGGTACAGTGGACACCTGGAACTACTTTGCTGAAAAACTATTCAGCACTATGAAAAGAAATATATAAGTGAGCAAAGTATCAACGGGAAAATCCACAAAAAACATACATAGACAACAGCTCGATGGCGGCTATTCATAAAAAACACAAGGCATGTGTTCGGTTATTGTACTGCAAAACTAAAGAAAATTTTGAGAAGTTTAGAAAAGCAAGACAAGAAGTGACATCACAAGCGAAAAACTCAATAAGAAATTGCGAAAAAGGACTAGCACGTTAAGCAAACTAACTAAACCTGATGGAACGCTTGCAACAGATGCTGAAGAAACATCAGAAACATTGAATAATTACATGTGTTCGTCAATGACACAAACATCAATGAGCCAAACATTCTACCTAGAACATATAGAGAACCTTTGAACATCATAATAATAACAACAGAAAGTGTCACGAAAGCAATCAACAGACTTAATCCAAACAAAGCGGCTGGACCACACAATATCCACCCAATGTTGCTAACCAATACAATTGAAGAAATAGCAGAACCCCTGTAAATAATCTTCACCAGGTCCCTAGAAGAAGGCAAGCTACCAGAGTGCTGGAAACAGGCTTTTGTAACACCAATTTTCTAAAAAGGGTCTAAAATAAATTCGTGTAACTATAGACCAATTAGTCCCACGTCAGTCATATCCAAATTAATTCAGAGAATTATCCGAGACAATATTCTACAACATCTGAACCAAAATAGCCTGCTAACCAACAGTCAACATGGATTTAGAACTTTTAGAGTCAGTCGAAGACAGGACAAAAATCATGGATTCTGGAAACAATGTGGACGTAGTCTTCTTAAAGTTTGCCAAAGCATTCGATAAAGTTTCTCAGCGTCTGCTGCTGCACAAACTGGAGCTATATGGTATAAGAGGGAAAAATACTAGATTGGATAAGAGCATACCTGTCTAACTTGACCCAGAGAGTCGTCCTTAATAGGACACAGTCAAATCCCCTACCAGTCACCAGTATAGTCCCCAAGGGGGCGTCTTAGGACCCCTCTTATTCCTGATCTATGTGAACGACATGCCAGATGTGGTTAACTGTGTGATAAAAATGTGTGTAGATGATACCAGACTCGACAGCAAAATATCCAAACCTGAAGATAGAGCTAACCTGCAAACTAGCATTAATAACATTTGCGAATGGACAGAAACGTGGCAAATGGAACTAAATGTAGAGAAATGCAAACACATGGAGATTGAGCATAAACCAAAAACATCATCATATGGAATAGTCAACAAAGGCCAGGAAATCAACATCACCAAAACAAGGACGGAAAAAGACCTCGGGGTAACAATTGACGATAAACTAAAATTGAGTGAGCAAACACCTACAAGAGTCGACTAAATGTGCATTTGAGAAATCACCCCAGGAAATTCAGTCTACTAGAACATTTAATGCTAAATGTAAATAGTGTAAATATTATTAGCGCGAAACCGGAAGTGAATTAATGTAACAGTGTATGAAAAAATATTCAGACATCGAAACAAGCTCCAATGAGCTTTCTAATGATGGAAGATACTGTGAATAAATTTACAATGCTGTGTCTTTAGCAATTTTAACGAGAAATCAGGTCCTTGCCACTCCTATCGAAATAAACAGTACGGCAGAACTACTGTATACCGGAAAATTTTCGCGCAGTTAAAATTTCGCCCTTCGTCCAATATAAAATTCGCCCTTCATATTAAATTTCTTTGTATATTCGCTGTAATGATGATTTAGAAAAAGGCACAGTACACAGTAATAATTTCCGTTGCAGTATCATTCCAGAATCCCCCAGGTGGCTTCTTTTGGTGGGAAGGAGAAAACAAGCTATGCAAATCCTCCGAAAAATAGCCAAGGTCAACGGAACGACCTTGACCGGAGAGATAACAGAAGTATGCCGGGAAAGTGGGTCGTTGAGGGACATTCTAACCTTATTGAAAATGCCTAAGCTCGTACTCAGATGGACCATCGTGTCATTTATTTGGTAGGTATTTTCGTAAGGAAATTCCACACGAACATATTGGCACTTTATTTGGAGGCGATTTAAAAGCAGAAAGAAAAATGCGACTTAAAAATTTGTAATTGGGAAATATTTAATCCTTTTAAGAGCGCACATCGATGTCTTGATTTTTCGATAAAAACACATGATCTTAACAAACGGACAAAGGAATACAAAAACTATTATCGCAAGCTTTTGATCATCGTTTGATGAACAAGTGAGTTTATTTGATGGTACTGGTAGCAGTACGGTTATATAGTTATATAGAGTTTTGTTTAGTCCCTGTGAAAACCGAGAATATACTAACTTTGCCATTGGTAGAATTCAGCGTTTATACAATTCCATATAAAGTACATTTAGTAGGGCTGACTATAAAGTATACTTTGTGACATAGAAAGACTTTCATTCTTAGAGAAATATTAGTTTTTTAAAAAACAACATACAAGTTTTCATTCAATTTTAATCATATAAAATTACACACATACCTCAAAATGTTAAACAACAACGCATATTGACTGGGTGTTTGTTGGTAAGTGGTGGCTCTAATATTTCCTTCATATTTCGTAATTGGTAATTCGCTTTCCTTATACTTTCATCACCAATAAGTTTCTTTCGTTATACGTCAACACCAATAAGTTTCCTTCGTTATACGTCATCATCAATAAGTTTCCTTCGCTATACGTCATCATCAATAAGTTTCCTTCGTTATACTTTCTTCATCAATAAGTTGCCTACCTCATCCATTCATAATCAGTATTTCACATTGCTCATCTTTTCATCATCATTAAGTTGGTTCCTAATCCTTTTTATCATCTGTAAGTTGTTTTCCTAATCCTTTATCATCAATAAGTTGCCGTCCTCGTTCTTCTTCCTCATACTTTGGTCAATTATTCGTTATTTTCGTTGCCTTCCTAATCCGTTCTTTATCAGTTGCCTTCCTCACACCTTTTTTCGCCGTTAATTTGCCTAGTTAAAATAAGTTGCCTTCCTCATACCTTCATCATTCGGAGGTTTTTTACCTCCTATACTTTAATCACATCAAAGTTGTCTTTCTCATCCTGCCGTCATCAAAAATTTGCCTTCATCATAAACTCGTACTGTGTAAGTTGCCTTCAACATACTTTTGCTTTCGTCATCAATTGGTGTGACATCACGTTGTTATTATATTTAGGTTTGCCATATCTCTATCCTACTATGGTCTCATCTTGAATGCCGGAAGAATCGGCGGGAATATTTACCTCAACTTCCTGGTGTCCGCCATAGTCGAGGCCCTAGGCTACAGCTCGTGTCTCGTTATCAACGACAGGTTCGGACGGAAGATCATGAACTGTGGCAGCCTCGTTCTGACGGGAGTGGCCTGTCTATCCACCATACTAACCACGCAGCTGGGAGGCGAATGTGAGAGTTTCTGCGTATCTATGTTATTAGTTAAAAGAGAAAATAAGAACTCCTCCTTTAAGTTCACCAGTCGGTTATATTGCGTCGAGCGTAAACAATTAACATTTTCGACTTCCTCCGAACCGCTAAACTGGTTGACATAAAACTCGGTACAAACTGATCTTTCTTTTCATGCCGAACTGAATATCAAGCATGGCCGCAATGGCTTCCGATTTGTTCAGATGTTGTTGACTTCTCAAGAATGTCTGAAGCGATTGACTTAAAAAAATCAAAAAAATCGCGTTTTCTCCTTAAGAATGGCTGGGGTTATTGACTTCAAACTTTGTACAAATGTTTATGATGAAATAAGTGTTGCTACTTTTTGTTTCGATCTGAAGATCCAAGATTAATGCCATAGCTTCTGATTGACAGAGCTACCTGAAGACTTCTTCTCAAGAACGGCTACATCAATCCCCAACTTGCGTTATTACGATTGCTGTCAATCCGAAAATGTATTATAGCTTCCCTGACCTCTGATTTGCTAAGACATTTTCGCCTTTTTTCTCTTAGGACGGATGCACTTATTGTCTCTAACTTTTTTACAAATGATCCTTTTGAGGTTCCTAAAAGGTGTTCTTTCTTTTCGAGCCGATCAGGTGGAAAACACGTTTAATTTGCTTCGACATTCTCGGATTCCCAAGAATGGTTGAAGTGATTGACTTCAAACTGTGTAATGTGGTCCCAAAAAAAGAATTCTTACTTTCATGTCCATCTTAATTTTTTTTTAAATAACAGATGCTCCAAACTTCGTGCAACTGTTCCTTACGTGATCCCCACACAAGATTGTTCTTTTTCATGCCAATCAGAAAATCCAAAATGGCATCTAATTGACTGGGAGATTTTTGATTTGAACGCATGTAAGCGTAAAGGCTCATTGGGCCTCATGTTATATTATGAATTGTCCTCAGACATGAAGTTTGAAATCTAAGCAAATGCAAAATTATCTTACAAAGCAAATGTTTTCGTCGGAGCATTCGTGTCGCACAAACTATAATATAGTGGGAATATATCGAAAAACAAGAACAGTTTGTAATCTGCGGTATTGTTTATTTGCTTCCCAAACGTAGAAACTGAAGTAACAACATTCCTTTTTTTCCAGCCCTCAGTTGGTTTACCATCACCCTGTCTATGATTGGAAAGTTCGGAGTTTCAGCAGCATTCGGAAATATCTTCATTTACACCTCGGAACTGTTTCCAACGTCCAGTCGTAGTTTCATTCTTTCCTCGTCCAATATCTTCGCACGTATCGGATCCCTGATATCGCCCTACATTGCCGACCTGGTAAGCAATATGGTTTTAGTACCCCAAGATTATTTCAACGTTATACCAGTCATCTGCGATAGATTTTGGTGTTTGGGAGAGGGCATTAATTTTGAGATGAGTTAAAAATGCTTAAGAAAAGTCGTTTGTCTTGTGAACCAAAAGAGTTCGATAATGCTTCGGAAAATATCTTGCCTATTGGAAAAGTCCCCTGTGTTAAATATATTTTGTTTGATAAAGAGATCAACCATGACCCTAATCGATAACACAGCAAACTAAAATTACGCTAACGTATACAGTTCATGTTCAGAGCTTCAGACCGTGTCGCAAATATGATGGAATTTCGAAGTAATTGGGATTAAAATTCATCAAATTCATTCATAAAAGTCACATAAGGTAGACTTTTTGAATGGTGCATTTTCATTAGATTGCACTGCGTATACTTGTGTAAGGTAGCTACATACAAAGGTAGCTCGTACAAACATGGCGTCCGATATTCTATCTAACGTGGCATTAGTCACTGATCTAGAGTTTTCTTTGCCTTGAAATCCTCCCCAATAGATTTCCAGTTCCGGTACATAACTTCAATGATGTTATCATTCCTCTTGCAATTTCCGTTGAACAAAAAAAAAGTACTCCTAACTTCGGCGGGG